TGGTGGAGGACAAGAAGGGGACGAGGTGTGGATATGGAGGGACTGGGAAATGAGTGGGATTGGTGTGCACGATGTGTAACACCCAAAGAATCAATAAAAACATACGTTTACAAAAGAGATAACAATCAACATGACAACATAAAATATAAGAAGATCAAGCAAAAACTATCTTATCACAGTTGGACATGGCAACCCAACAGGAGGAAAGAATCCCAAAAGCAAGCAAAAATGTCAGAGACCCACTCGTTCTCACAGTCAGGGGTCCCATAAAAATACTGAGCTGTAATACACACAGAGGACCTGTGCAGACCCAGGGAGGCCTGTGCCTGCTGCTTCAGTCTCTGTGAGCTCAGATGAGCCTGGCTTAGTTGACTCAGAGGGCCCTGTTCTCCTGGTGTCCTCCATCCCCTCTGGCTCTTTTAGGGTCTTTTTATCGTCTCTTTCTCATCTCTTTATTTCTTGTCTTACTTCTATCTAGATGTACCCCTTTTGTGTATTCTTAATTTTCCCCTTATAGCTTATATACCCCAGCAAAATCTTTCAAGCAGTATAAAAATTACAATGTGGTTACATTCTATTTTTTAAGTGAATGATTACAATGAGTACAAGTAAAAACCATCATGTTTTCCATGTCCCTTAAATGATTAAAAAAATTTTTAAGTTTTAATTTTTAATTAATTTAATTAATCATTAATTTAGTGTTTAATTTTCTTAAATGGATTACAGGTGAAAAACAAATTATCTCCAAGAACCCTCATGCATTCATGTCCAAACAACTTGTTATAGATAAACAGAGTGTGTAAGCAAGCAATGTATTCTTCTCAGCCAGTTCTTTTACTGGCAGGCTGCATTTTGTGGTTACAAAGAAAGGATCAACTACTTTATCATTTACCTCAAAAAATAATCTTATAAAAAATCTTAAAAGAATCGCAAATCTAAACTTTTATATATGAAAAACAATCAGGCCTCTCTACTTTAATTCCTCAGGGTGCATACCCACTCATCAACAGTTTTTATATCAAGAAGCTGAGGGCAGAAATGGGTGAAAGTAATTAATCATCACCTTTGATCACCAACCCATCCTACCAAGAAAGGCACATCAGCCAGCAGTAGCCAGGCTGCCATTGTTTTGTTCCCTGATCTCAATGAGTCTCTCACTCAACTATTAAGACTATGTCTTTCTAAACTTTAAATTGTTCCCCAAGATTTTCTACCTCAAAGACATTAACAAAAACATCTTAACCTAATCATAATAACAATCTACATGTCTAAAATCTTTCTAAGGATGATGGTTGAATCATTAATCTTCTCCAGCAGCAATGCTTGGAAAAAGTCAATCACTATTATTGTAAACACCAGTAACATTGCCCAGTGAGTGGCTAGAAACTCCCTGGGAGTTTCCATACAACCCGTAGATTATGAGGGATGTGGTGACCACAAAGGCAACAATCAGAGCTATGATCAACAACAGCATGAAGTCTCAGGACATATAATCCTCAGGCTTTGCCTCTCCAAGGCTCACTCAGGTGTAGCCTTGCCAACCACCCAGCCATGTTCCATGAGTTCCAGTGCTGCCTCTTGGTCCCCTTGAATGGCCCCTAGCACCACCATATTGATTTCCATAGTGGCTGCACAAGTTTGCACTCTGACCAGCAATGGAGGAGTATTCCTCTTGCTCCAAATCCTCGATAGCATGAGCTGTCACTTGTCTGTTTGATCTTAGCCATTCTGACAGGTGTAAGATGGAATCTCAAGGCAGTTTTGATTTGCATTTTCCTGATGGCTAAGGATATTGAGCATTTCTTAAAGTGTTTCTCAGCCATTTGAGATTCCTCTGTTGAGAATTTGGAATGAGAATATCCTAAATTGACACTTGTGTCCTGCTGGGGATGTCTTTCTGTATGCTGTGAATGTGTTGCTCTGATTTGATTGATAAATAAAATGCTGATTGGCCAGTAGCCAGGCAGGAAGTATAGTATAGGTGGGATAAACAGAGAGGAGAATGCTGGGAAGTAGAAGACTGAGTCAGGAGACGCTGCCAGCTGCCACCGCCATGAGAAGTAATATGTAAAGTACCAGTAAGCCATGAGCCACATGGCAACTTATAGATTAATAGAAATGGGCTAATTTAAGATATAAGAACTAGATCGCAAGAAGCCTGCCACGACCATACAGTTTATAAGTAATGTAAGTCTCTGTGTGTTTACTTGAGTCTGAGTGGCTGCGGGCCTGAGCCGGACTGGAGGAAACTCCAGCTGCAGTGCCCTTCCCCTCTCTTAGATGTCAGGCTATTGAAACAATGGTTCCCAAGAAAGGGAATCTCACTCTGGGAGAAAACTGGAGCCTGGTGGCAGCCAGAGGAGGAATTTGTTTCCCTAGAAAGACATTTCACACAGTTCTGACAAGTCATCAGGCCACTTTGCTGTAGGGGGACTTTTCTGTCCAGCCTGCCTGCTTCCAAATAATCACATAGAGACTTAATATTAATTATAAATGTTTGGTCGATGGCTCAGGCTTATTACTAATTCGCTCTTACAACTTAAATTAACCCCTTTATATTAATCTACATTCTGCCATGTGGGATTACCTCTCTTTCATCTCTCACCTCCTCTTTCCTTACTGTCTGGCTGGTGATTCCTCTGACTCTGTCCTTCTTCTTCCCAGTATCCTTAGTCTGGTTCTCTGGCCTAATCTTATCCTGTCCAATATGGGCCAGTCAGCTTCTTTTAGAAACCAATCACGGCAACATAAATTCGCATAGTGTAAAGGAATACTGCACACCTGGCAGAACAGACTGGCTCAGCAACAACAGTCTGTGGTGGATGGGACCACAGAGCGACTGGGACTGCTCAGCTACGCATTCCTCTAACGCTCTGCTTAAACCTAAACCTCAGCTCAGGACCCGAAAGATAGGTTTGGGAGGTGGCAGTGTGTGTGTGTGTGTGTGTGTGTGTGTGTGTGTGTGTGTGTGTGTACGCACGTGCATGCATGCTACTGGGTCTCTCTGTCCCTCTTCTCAGTGTGAGCACATTCCTTTTTCTGCTTTCCATTGCTATTTGTTTACTCATTTGGCTTACTGAGGATGGATGGCTACACTCAGCCTACTAAGGGGATGTTAGGACTTGGGCTCTGGCCCTGGTCACTCTGACAGCAGGGACAGTATGGTATCCAGGACTGATGGGTCCAACCATAAGAATGCCATCTGACAAAGTCCTGGATCTGATGGCTCGGCATTGGCAGAAGATGGAATATTGAGTGTTCTGGGAGCTTCCAGGGCCGGTGACAGCCAACAGCTGCTCTTCAAAGGGGACTCCCCACCACCACAGCACACCTGCAGGAGGGCGGCACCTGTGTAAATGAATAACCCCACAAGAATAATTGGATGGATAATTAAGGTGTAGCTTAACTTTTCCTGCCTTGCTCACAATCAGGACAGATCTTTGTCACCCGCCAGTCCCACAGCCGCTCAGACCCAACCAAGTAAACACAGAGACTTATATTGCTTACAAACTGTATGGCCGTGGCAGGCTTCTTGCTAACAGTTCTAATATCTTAAATTAACCCTTTTCTATAAATCTATACCTTGCCATGTGACTCGTGACGGGCCAATCAGTGTTTTATTTATTGACCAATCAAAGCAACTTGACATACAGACCACCCCCCAGCATAGCCAAGTGCAGACCATCTCAGACACCTGCACTCAGGCCCATGGTCCTAATCATCCTCTGTGAGGACCTGCTGGGTAAAGCCATGAGGAACCCGAGAATGGACTCCCACAGGACATACAGAACATCCCATAGCATTGGGGGATGAGGTACAATGTTCACCATGTAGTCATGTTTCTATTTGTGTTGGACTGTTAGGTTTTTAATTTCCTGAACCCAAAACTTTTATTTAGTTCTCTCTCAGTTACAGCTGAAAGCTTTTCTTAAACTTGTTTTTCTAGAAAGCTCTTTAAACTTTACATTTGAAAATAGAAGTCAAAACATGGCAAGTAGCTTGACAGATGGAAAGAATTCTCCTGTCACTAAGATATTTATTGACTAGGCACCATGCCATGTGTAGCTATGATCCTGGTTCACAAGTTCATGACCTAAATTAACCTTAGTCAGTGTCCTGACAGCTCAAAATCCCCAAAATGCTGCAACTTGCCCAAGGGTTTTTTTTTTGTTTTTTCCAGCACTAACGAAGAGTTTAGCACTACTGTTTGCCTCTCGCAATGCTGAAGAAAGCATAGAACCTGCCTTCCCTCCCCGCTTTGTTATGAGGCAAATGGAAAAAAAGTGATGCAGATATACACAAAAAGAGAAAATGCTGAAGATCTGTCATGACGTCAAACATACAAGCAGCTTTGTTGTTCTGAGAAGAGATGTTTATCCGCAGACAGCAGCTCTCCACAGTGTGCGGCACAGGTCAGGAGGCATCAGACGCAGGAAAGACCAGGACCCTCAATTTAAAGTCTGGGAAAACTGTATTCTCTTGTTGGGAATACAATAAAACAGCCACAGCAAAGGAACAACACCCTGAGATGAGCCACCATTTGAGTAGATGTATTGTCATTGACAAACACACACTCAGTGTTTAATCTATGTTTTCTAGTCTGCACACAGGTCTTAATCTTTAAGGGATAACAGTAACCAGTCAAAAGACAACCAACAAGCTGGGCGGTGGTGGCGCACACCCTTAATCTCAGCACTCAGGAGGCAGAGGCAAACCGATCTCTGTGAGTTCGAGGCCAGCCTGGAAACCCTGTCTTGAAGAAAAAAAAAAAGACAACCAACAAAAGAATACCTAGACCTGTAAGCATAAGCATGACTATATCAATCAGCTTTCCTTTATTATAACAAAACACATGGTAACTAACTTTTAGAGAAAAGTGTAATATGGATTGCTAAATGGTCTAATTAATTTAAAAAAAGCCTGGAGCCAGATATTGGGGTAAAAACTGAGAGATCATGGAAGCAGAAAGAAGCCAGCCACGTTCTTAGCACTAGAAATCCTCAGCCAAAGAGAGACCTACTTCCTGCATAACCACGCCTATATGCCTCTCTGTCGCTGCCCTCTCACTTCCTCTCTCCGCCCAGCTACATCACTTCCAGTCTGTCTGTACAGACCTCCAGAACTCCATGGTTAGTGCTGGGATCAAAGACATGTGCCACCACTCCTGGCTCTGTTCCCAGTGTGGCCTTGAACTCACACGCGAGATCCAGATGACTCTCTGCCTCCTGAGTGCTAGGATTAAAGATGTGTGGTACCGTTGTGATACCTCAATAAAACCCCCCACTCTATCCCCTACAGACAAAGAGAAGCTTAAACCAGGATTCCTAAGTATAGATAAGAACTTAGACCCCTTTTCCCCAGGTGGCTGTATCTGCTACAGGGACTTTGGAAAACAGTCAGGATATTTGACCAAAAGACTAAAAAGGGAGGCAGGTTAAAATAAATTATATGGTCTGT